AGCGAAACCGGGCCTTTATTAAAAAAATAAATTAATTTATCATTTGTCAAATTTTAGGTTACAACAATAACGGAAAATTCATTTTTTTACCTTGAACAGGTTGCACCAAAGTTCACGGACCTTGGGGTCAACATCCGTGTACGTAGCCCAGTTGCCAAGAAAGTGTCCACCAATTATGATTTTGATTTGGTTCAGCACTTCTTGATCGCTTCAAAAAATTAATGATATTTTTTTATATCCGTTTGGTTAGATTATTTGACATTAGATAAAATTATTTGACATTAGATAAAGTTCATAGTTACTTACTTAGCAACCATGTGAGGTGTCACCTATTCCGAATCTTCATTGTTGCGCTCGGCTTGGGTTAAGGGCGCATAGTTCGGGCGAGCACGGGAGGTTGATTGTTCATTGCTCATCTAAAATAATTGATTAATGAAGAGTATTAATTTACATTTTCAAATAAGTTTTCGTATTTAAATTTTATAAAAAACATTTTATATAAAAGCAGTTTTTTGTAAGCAGTTTTTTATAAACAGCTTTTTACAAACAGTTTTTTATAAACAGCTTTTTACAAACAGTTTTTTATAAACAGTTTTTTATAAACAGTTTTTTATAAAAAGTTGTATAAAAACAGTTTTATAAAAAACATAAAAACAGTTTTGTGTAAAAACAGTTTTGTGTAAAAACAGTTTTGTGTAAAAACAGTTTTTTGGTATAAACAGTTTTTTGGTATAAACAGTTTTTTGGTATAATAAAAGCAGTTTTATATAAAAAGTTTTTTTTATCGTTTAACTCAATATGAGGGGGTATTTTTATAATTAATATTCTATATTAATGTCTAACTCAATATTTTATAATTAACATGTCAAACTTTTTTGGAAGAACTTTTCAATTAAAACAGTTAAAACAGTTTATTTATTAAACTGTGTTAAATATATTGTCAAACACGTTCTTCTCACTGTGCATGACATCTATATTGTGACGGATGAGAAGGTCTTTCCAATATGGTAACTCCCAAAAGATACTCCTCTTTGTCCACTTATGGGTATCACAAAACTCATATGGCTTCTTATTTAGTTCTTGCATAATCGTAGGAATACGTCGAACCCGGTTAAAAATTGTTTCCCCGGTCAATCTCGGGGGCGGGGTGTCTCGTACCACTCTACCTCTAATGAAAGACTTTTTGTCCTTTCGATATCGGTGGTTTTCCGGGAGAAACTTGCGGTGACAATCAAAGTAGCTTGGTTTTTTACTGAAAGTGAACCAATTGACACCTGATTTCTTCATGCATATCGGACATCCCATAAGACCATGTGTGCTCCACCCCGAAAGCATGCCATAGGCAGGGAAGTCGCTAATGGTCCAAATGATGGCAGCTTTCATTATAAAATTATGATCCCTTGAAACATCATATGTTGGTGTCCCAATGGTCCAAAGTTCTTTCATCTCCTCGATAAGGGGTTGGAGATAAATGTCTATCTTTTTTCCTGGATCATTGGGACCCGGACACATTAGAGTCAAAAAGATAAAGTGACTTTTCATGCACATGTCGGGAGGGAGATTGTAAGGAGTTAACATGACCGGCCAACATGAATAGTTCTTCCCAAACCTTCCAAATGGAGCAAATCCGTCTGAACACAATCACAGTCGCACATTTCGTGGCTCCATTGCAAACTGAGGATGACAACGGTCAAAGTGTCTCCAAGCTTCACAGTCCGAAGGGTGAGACATCATACCCTCTTTTGTTTCGTGCTCAACATGCCATGTCATGTGTTTTGTAGTAGCAGTCGAAGCGTACCTCTGAAGTCGTGGAGCTATTGGGAGGTAATGCAGTTTAGATAATGCCGACCTATTTCGTGGTTTCTTTCTACTTTGAGGAACAGGTTTGTATCTGTTTCCACCACAGAACTTGCAGAATTCAAGTGCCTCATCATCTTTCCAGAACAACATACATCCTTCCAGGCACGCATCAATTTCTATATAAGGTAGCCCCAACTTAGACATTAATTGTTTCATGTGATAATATGAATCGGGAAGGTTATGATCACGTGGTAGCATCCCGTCTACTGACTGCAAGACTCTAGTCATGCAAGTTTCAGGGAGACTGTATTCAGCTTTTATGTTCATAAACTCTGTAACGGCGGATAGCTGAGAGTATCCCTCACAATCAGCATACAAGGTTGATCGGCTGCTTTTAAAATATCTTGAAATCTTTTAGCTAAACCTTCATCCACATAAGGTTCATAAAATATCGGATTTTCATCCTCATGTGATTGATACGAGGTCGAGGCTTCAGGAGGATCGTTAGATGGTTGTGGGGGGTTGAACTCAGACATCGATGCACCGTATGCGTCATATACCATACGTTGCTCCCGTCTCATTTCAGCAGGGTCTCCCAACGCACTCATCTCTGCAGGGACGTTACGAGACGAACCTACCGTTTGTGGTAAAACAGATGGATCCAAAGGTTCGCCATGAGAAGTCCAATTATAATAATTGGGAAGGAAACCGTCCGCGTACAAATCCCACCCAACTTCGTCTGGGTGTTTAAATTTGAAATTTTTACACTTTGAACATGGACATCTGATTTTATCACCACTCATATAAGTCGGGTATTCAAGTGCGAATTTAATAAACTCCTCAACTCCTTCAAGAAAATTTGATTGCATTCCGTACAATACCGCATGTTTATCATACATTCAAATTCTATTTTGTGTATACATTATGCCTGAATATTATAATAAAAAAATTATACAGGTTAAAAACTCTAAATTATAAACATTACCAACATATGTGGAGTATTATTATATATTAAATTTCAATGCAATCATTTAAATTATTAACTAATAACCAATATTATGATTTCAACACTAAATACACTAAATTATTACGTTACCTTTTTATGTGTACGAACATTTATATATTAAATTTCACTAAAATTCCATTAAAATTAACTAATTCCCTAAAATTAACTAATTCCCTTAAATTTCACTAAATTTCACTAAAATTCCCTTAAAATTAACTAATTCCCTAAAATTCCCTTAAAATTAACTAATTCCCTTAAATTTCACTAAAATTCCCTAAAATTCCCTTAAAATTAACTAATTCCCTAAAATTAACTAATTCCCTTAAATTTCACTAAATTTCACTAAAATTCCCTTAAAATTAACTAATTCCCTAAAAATCCCTTAAAATCAACTAATTCCCTTAAAATTAACTAATTCCCTTAAATTTCACTAAATTTCACTAAAATTCCCTTAAAATTAACTAATTCCCTAAAATTCCCTTAAAATTAACTAATTCCCTTAAAATTAACTAAATTCCTTAAATTTCACTAAAATTCACTAAAATTCCCTTAAAATTAACTAACTTCCAATAATTAATATTATTAAACTATAAACATGCACAATACGTTAATGACATTTAATCCACAATACTAAAATTAACTAATTCCCTTAAAATTAACTAATTCCCTTAAATTTCACTAAAATTCACTAAAATTCCCTTACAATTAACTTACGTCCAATAATTAATATTATTAAACTATAAACATGCACAATACGTTAATGGCATTTAATCCACAATACTAAAATTATCAACATCTTAATCTTATTAATAATGCACATTTAACAATTTACTAAATTAAATAATATGAGCAAATCCAATAATTTGAGCATATATATATAATAAACTCATTTATATTAAATAATACTTAAATTTAACTAATATTATAATTTTTTATACTAATTTACGTAATTCACAATCATAAATCATCATACTTAATTAAGTAATGTTTCAATTAACTAATCCTAATTTAAATCATTATTAATCCTAAATTAGGCCGCCTTAACACTAATTGCTAATAAAGAAATCATATAATTATATTTAATCATATATAAAGTCATTTGAATTAAATAATACTTACATTTAACTAATATTAATAATATCATCTACACATGTATTTGTGATTAAAATAAAACTTGTTTATAAATGTAGCCTCTTAAGTATAGTGATTTATAATAATAACTTTAGTCTTAGTAGCTTATATACCCCCTCCGGTCCTAAATAAACTTCACACTTTCCATTTTGGGTAGGTCCAAAATAAACTTCACACTTCTTCTCCCTTCCTTATTTGACAAATTATCTACATCAAAACAGTGCAAAACAGTGCAAAACAGTGCCAAATAGTGCCAAACAGTGTCACAACAGTGTACTCTACAGTAAAGTCAAATTTATTTCCTTAATTTGTGTGAGGTCAAAGTGTGAAGTTTATTTAGGATCGGAGGGAGTATAATTTTTACACTTAAGTGACCATAATCATTTGCGACTAAAACTTAGGTGTTGTTGTAACTTGTAAGTGACACAAGGCCATTTTTTAGCAGGTTCAATAGGTTATCCACAACAGGGCTCCTGAATTTAGGGGGGGGCCAATTTTAAAAAAATATATTAGTATTATATAGTAATATATTATATTAATACTAATCAGTAAAATACAGTTAGTAAGGAAGAAAAATATAGATCCATCATTTCTTCGTAGGTCCTTTCACTCTTTTAGTTCTCTTTTAACAAGTATTCAATTGATTTCAGTATGCGTATTTAGATTGAGATTTTTTTTTAACTTTTCATAATAATGTGGACCTCGATTTTACATTTAGAACGAGGCGTCCAAATTCATTAGACGGCCCCGTTAAAATGACCATAACATTATTCTAAAGAAACCTTTAACTATATTTTTATAAATAAGTTTTATTTCAATAATATAAAAAAAAATCTTAACACAATTAAATGGATTTAATCCAAACATAAACTTTGTTTGTTGACATATTACAATTTTCCATTCAAACTTTACACGCTGTCATAGTGATCATAAATATTATCGAAATTAACGTATGATCATATTTCCTATACGTTTTACACTATACAAGTGTTTGCTTTACAAAAAAAAACTTTTTGTAGGTATGACTCAAACTTGATACTATATGTTATATGTATTCAGGTTGCTTTATACAGGTTGAAACTCCAAGACCAAGCACCAATATAGTAGATTTGAATGGTAGAAATTTTGGGTCATACTTATAAATCTGATTAGCCAAGTGGTTGAATGGTGAGTTCAACCACTTGGCTAATCAGTATTACAGTGCTCAGCAGACAAACAATGTTCACCCTGAGTTGTTCATCGTTTGATTGTTCATCATTGGTGCAGCCAGAGCACATTGCTGCTACAATGTTCCGACATGAATAACCTCATCAGAGCTAAGGGAGACATCAATGCAGAACGCAAGGATTAAAAAAAAAAGATACTCCGTATATGTGATCTACAATCAGGTATATACCAACTCTCATTTAACTCTTAAGTTGCCCAACTTAAGCTTGTTTTCCACAGCAGGTAGACTGGTATTGCAATGTCAAAGAAAGAGGAGCTGTTGTAAAAAGAACTCTTAGAACTACATTGTGGTATTCAATTCCATTGGTGGATCTTCTAATATGATACAATGATACTTCCTTGATTACTGGATTCGTATTCAGGATCTACAAACCACATGGAGGGTGTCTTTTTTGACATTGATGAGGATTATCCCACGGTGACTTTGCCACAATGCCCACAACTTAGATCACTTGTGAAATCATTCTTACTTACAAGTGCCACAAACTAGCTTATAAGACAATACTGAGTATTAGCTAGGTTTTATAAGCAACCATAAATAGATTAGGATCATCAAACTTCAATTGGATCATATTGAGATCTAACATTTAGTTCAGCACGCATAGGACCTTTAAAAGCTTTTGAACTGATATTTAGTAACTGTAAAAAGGCATTCCAAATACTAAATTTATAAAATTAATAGTTATGTGGCTGAGCATAAAACTCAACATCTACCAGTAACTTAGTTTGTTACAGCACCCTTTTTAGTGTCCACTGCCTAATAAACCTCTGTGCATTAGAACTAACTAATATATGTGTTACTCTACTTTCAGCGTCTTCTATAGATCCTTTGAGCGCCCAAAAAAACCCTGGTGGCTTTGGAAACATCAGTTACAATTCCTCTGACCCGTTGAGCTTCCATAAGCCTTTACTGCAGTGGAAACAAAAACTCAATTAAACTCTAGGAGCTTCACTTTTGAAAGTAAAATAGTCTGATAATTATGGCAAAAGAAGTAATTACCAGGACTTAAAATCTTGACACATTTAGTGACAGACTTCATGGTTGTGCAAGTATCTGGATCTATGAGCAAATGAAAGTATTTTAATACCACTTCAGTCATTGAACAAAGTTGTTTTGTATCCAGCTTTATAATGGAGCACTAATGATACCTGTTAAGCCAGTATCATTTGCAAGGACTTCTGTAAATGTTGATGAAATTTGGGATGTCATTTGACTGGGTCCTATATCAGCATCTTCTGATTTACTTGGCGAGCTGTGGATTAGACATCAAACACCATCAATTCTGTAAGCATTACTTGAAGGTACTTTCGAAACACAAAATACACTAGGGAGAGTAAACGAGTAGAAAAGAGAAAAATGGGAACTAACAAAGATTTGGTAGACTAAGAGATGAGTTTAAAATAGATATTTGTACAAACGCATTTTTTATTATTAATTCTATTATATGCAGCGTATGGAATCCAAATTCAAGTAAAATTTTAAAACAAGTTAATCTTTTCAAGTTAAAACATTGAACATATGAAAACAATTTTTATGTTTTTGTCCCATCACTTTCAGGGACCTAATTACCTAAACATAACCCAAATAGTAAAAAATAAAAATGATATTTATAGAAGCATTTACTCTGAAAGGGTCTCTGATGAAGAACTCTTGTCTGGCTGGGGAGAACAATAATTTCCCTCTACACAAAGGTCGAAGTCCCCCAAAAGCTCAGAGAGATTAAAATCCATTCCTAGAGCATCTAAATCCAAGTCAAATATCTCTCCATCTGATTCAGAAGTTGAAGTCCCACCAGGAGTACTTAATACCCTTGTTGAACAAGAAGGCACATCAGAGGCGTCAAAATCTAGCCTTCCTTTCACATGATCCCTCATAATGGGTTTCATGTTTGTCTTAACGGGTGACAAAGTAGATATGCACTGATTTCTCTCAATAGAATAGTACCCTGGTTGTTTGGAAGGGCTAACTCGGATTGTTTCTGAAGATATTATCATGCAGTTGGATGATACCATTTGCTGAGTAGTAACATTATCAACAGAAGTAGCAGTTGAAGTAATCTCTACGGGTGATATGGAATTTTTTGTTAGAGAGGAAGATGCATGTGGAGGTGTCTTAGGACCAGAAGAATTTGTTGGTGGAGACTGAGTTGACTGGTTAAACAGGCATTTGGCAACATTGGATACTTGGACTGCTGTTGCTCCGGTACCATCAGTATCACAGGCTGATGATGGAACTGCAGAAAGTTTTGAAGGATCCCCATCACCTTTATCTGAAATGTTTGCTTGGGCAAGTGCCTTATAACCTGTAATAATAATAGTGAGGTGAATAACGTCTTTAAAGTAATAAAAGATAACTAAGCCATCTTTTAAATACATAGGGAAAGCACACATTGTGGAAAAGGCCAAAAAAGACATCCTTCCAATTGAGCCATACAAAGTACAAACAATAAAAAGGGACGATTGAGAAAATTCAGCCATACAATAAATCAAGGATACAGAATTATTTCCAGTTCACCTTCAAGGGGCAGTTGGCTGTTAACTGAACTCTTGTGAGATCTCTTTGAAATCAAATTAGCATTGGACATGGAACGCTTCCTTTTTGTTGGCAAGGGATCTATAGGTGGTGTGCAAGAATAGGTTTGAACTGCGGATGGCACCATACTCTGTATCATATTTGGTGTATTACCCACTGAATATCCACCTAACAATGCGCATAATCAGATTATAGGTCGTTAAATGAATTGCAATTTTCTTGAAGTAAACCACTTCAAGGACAGTGATGAAATGTCAAATCTTGTCAGCAGTTGATCAATTTTACTCAACACACAGATCACGATAATATGTCCTCTAGATCTAATCTAGTAAATATAACAACAAACATTTGTTGCACTTAAATTGTCACAAGACTCACAACATCCAAGAAATGTAAATCAAAAAGAGAAAAGATAGAACTTCATGTATTTGGTAAAAGTTACCTGCAGGAAATGGAGAGGGAGAGACTAGCGGAGGAGGAGGAGGAGTATTGAGATTAGCAGAGCCATTATAAGCATTCATAACATCCTGCATTCCCTTCAGCAAATTCTGAAGTCGAAGTTTTTCTTGCTCCAGATGTCCCCTTTCTTGGTCGATTGCCAATTTCTGCCCCTTCAAACATATGTACTCATCTAGCAACTCTCCTAAGCTCAGCACCTTCGTAGACTATTCCACAAAAGCACACACACAAATTAAACTATCAAATACAGTCGAGAAATGATAACAACATTATAAACCTAATCCAACACATATTATAAATCACTCAATGTGATTCTGATTTCTGACTAATTCGGAAATTAAAGTTGGCTTTTACATACCTCTTGAGCGGGTGATTTGGAGAAGAGATGCGGAGCTTCGGAGCGGAAGGCGTATCGGGTTTTGGAGAGATTGTTATCGCCGAGATAACAATCGACGATGAAGGCAACCTGCGCCGGAGTTACTTTGCCTTTGCCGAGCTGTGTGCTTTCAGCTGATTTTCTCGATCTGCTGCTTTGCTTCCGCATTTTCTCGCGACAGGCGTCGAATGCAGCTATGAGCTATGGGAGTCGAAGAAAAATGTAGTGAGAAATACTGAACCAGAGATCTGCGAAAAGAGTTTGAAGAACGAAGAGGGAACATATAGTAGCGGGAGATGTCTATCAAAAACGCGCGGTTTTGATTTTTTTTTTTGCGCCAAAATGAAGCTCAAACTCTTTGAACCATATTTTGCCGGTTATTCTTCCCTCTCATGTTTGAAAAATTGTCGCATATGCCCCTGGAACTAAATAAACCGGTCATTCCGGTCAGGTTTTACATGCAAACTGGCACGCCTAGACCCGCCCTGACCCAAAACATTTGAGGCATGTTCGGCCCACTCTTCTTTCAAATGTGGCGGGTCCAGGGATTCACATTATTCCGTGTCGCACTGAGTCGCCCAGCCCAGCTCAATATATAAGCATACATATTTAAAAAAAGAGAAAATGGAAACTAATAATACAATCTTTTAGCGGTGTTCTTACAATAATCTCATTTTTTGATTATTCAGGAATAATTCAATCTTTGCACCTCATCTTTATTCAATGGTCTCTGACCGGTGGATGATCTGCTATTCCAAGTTATTTTCTTATCTTTGCTAAATATTATGTGACCATAAAGTGAGATTTATGGTATAATATATTTTGCAAAGATAAGAAAATAACTTGAAATAGCAGGCCATCAACCGATCAAGGGTCATTGAATGAAGATGGGGTGCAAAGGTTAGATTATTCCCGAATAATCAAAATGTGGGACTATTGTAAGAACACCGCTAAAAGGTTGGATTATTAGTTTCCATTTTCCCTAAAAAAATATACTACAAATATACATATGCATACATATTTGGATATAATAAATCATACTCCGTAAATTCTTTGATCTTATAAATATATTACGTAGTACGGAGTAATATTTATATTTGAGTGAGATGAATGGTGAACCGTTTATGTCTTTTTTATATATAACATTTTATTTATTCAATTATTAATTAAAATAGATTAACTATTAAAGTCTAAGTGCTTTTTTCTTAATTTTTGAAATTTTTAGTGTATTGACTTTGATTTAATATATTATTTTTTTTATAATTATTTAGAGATAAACTTTATTTAGATTCAAGTGCTAATGACTTCACGCAAATAGAAATGCAGACTAGCTAATTAAGTTACAGCGGGAGGGGGTCATGGATCAACAAGTTTGAACCCGTACGGGTCTTACGGTACCCGCCCTGATCCTTTGTCATATCTAGTTTTATTTAGACTGCGAAGTATGATTATTATATATCTTGTGAGGGTGTTTGTATTTTGAGAAAATTGGGGATATGTACACAATTACTCGAGTACATATTTTAATGTGCCTTGAGTTAATAGTAATGAAATATGGGGGGAAATCAAATAGACCCTTCTAATATTTTTATCTATCACTCAAGCCTTTCCACTAAAGAAAACATCATATAAGTACATTTACTTTTTAAATGCAACCAATCAAGTCATTTTAATGTACTATATCAGATTATTTTAAAAAAGTTAAGAGTATCGACGAATCCTATAAAACTTCATATAAATTTGAAAAATAATTTAATAATAATATAATGTAAAAATAGATAAATATTTCAAAACTGTTAAAAAGAAGAAGAAAAAACCATAAAACTTGAAAAAATTGGTGATTTGACATTCTGATCTTTTCAGAGTTTAGATATAATGCAACAACCTTTTTATATAGGAGTTGGACTTGGGGTACACATTTTTTTGTGCACACACTTTTTACACATGTCTGTGTAAGTTTTTTTTTTGTCTGTACAGACAAAAAAACTCTTACACAGACATGTGTAAAAAGTCCTTACCCGCACGGGTAGCTCAGTTGGTAAGAGTGGTGGGAGATTTGGAACAATGGACCAAGGTTCGAATCCCCGCAACGACCGGGTGGAGGTCACAGAACCTGAAATAAGGCTGAGCCTCTGGTGCGCACGGGTGTATGAGCCTACTGCCATTCTGCTAACTAAGTCACCGTGACTAACCTCCTCACCATCATGTTGGATCGAGATGAGGGCTCCTGGGGTGGGAGATTCCACCTTTTTTTAGGTAAGTCCTTATTTGGTAGGCATCTTCAATTTGTCAGCCTTAATTATTACACATCACACTGTTTTACCCCACTCTAATTTTTAGCTAAAATTATTGAAAATGGTAACACTTCAACTTTTAGATTTAGGTAGTTGAGAGGAATTCAAAAATATGTTCTAAAAGTAAAATTTATAATGCACTCGTAAATAAAATGTAATAAAAATAGATCACACAAATTGTGCTTCGTTACTATTTAAGAAAAAAACATGGGAAAAGGACACTAATATTACTATTAGGAAGCCCAATTCCACAAATGGAGTCCAATTATAAAAGGGAAAACTGTCAAACAGGTTCTCGAACATTAATAAAAAGGTCAATTAAGTCCTTCTATAGGAGGTTCTGTCCGGCCGTCGCGATTTGGGGCAATTCTCGGTGGAATTTTTTGATGAAATGTTTTGAGCATCTTATTCACCAAGTCTAGTTTACTCATACCAAATTTCAGATAAAAATTCAATCAGGAACACATTCAAATTAATTCATGAAGATAACTGCGCATTTTTGCGTTCTCGAATTAATTTGAATGCGCTCCCGATTAAATTTTTAGCTGAAATTTGGTATGAGTAAACTAGACTTGATGAATAAGATGCTCAAAGAATTTCATCAAAAAATTCCACCGAGAACCGCCCCAAATCGCGACGATCGGACAGAGTCTCCTATAGAAGGACTTAATTGACTTTTTTATGAAAATTTGAGGACCTATTTGACAGTTTTCCCATTATAAAAATACAAAAATGTAACGGTCATAAAATTGGAAACAGTTTCACAGCTCGTCACTTAAGAACGGCAAGTTGCCAACTGCCTTCCAAATTAACTTTTTTTTTGGGTCATCAACTCCAAACATTCTTATTAATCCAAACAATCAGTAGCCAAAAGGTTAGCAATACAACTAGGCATCACATCATAGCTACTATACTGATCTAGGAGATTTACGTGTCCTCTTGCTATTGCATGAGTCACACTGTTCGCAAATCTATTACGATAAGAGAGAGAGAAATCACTCTTAGTTTCTAACACCTCTCTAATATCCTCTATAATAATTTGTAAATATGAGAACCCCCCCTGATTTTATATTCTTTACTACTGTCATTGCATCTAACTCGAACTCAATCTGGTTCCATCCTTCCCGAATAGCTCCCTTAATAGCTTCCTGCAGCCCATGAGTTACTGTCTCTGCCACTGTCCAATTCACCGTGCCGACCCCCCTTGTGCTTTCAGAAAATTCCCCTCATCATCTCTTGCCACCCAACCCCAAGCTCTTACACCCCCATTTTCATTTACCGCGCCATCAACATTAATTTTTATATAATCTTTCTTCGGTTTCCTCCACTTTTCTTTCTCTTTATTTTGTTGAACACCTTTCAGTCCCCCTTGATCTTGGGCCTCCTTCCAGCTTGACAGCATTCCTGCAGCTCCATTAATAACACTAGTGGTGTCCTGCTTTTTATCCTTCCGAACCGCATCATTTCTTCATTTCCATAGGCTCCATAGTAGTGCCATGAATTTACCCTTCTTCTCCTCATCTCCCATCTGAATACCCTTCCTCAGCCAATCTTCTACCGGCTTGTCCTCCTCGGCATTTATGCCAGCTTCCTGCCACATCGGATGAGCCCATCCGCAACTCCGAAAAACATGCTCCGGAGATTCTGCCGGATCATCACATAATTTACACCCGTTCGGTACAGTTATACCTCTCTGGCGCAATTTATCTACAGTAGGGATCATCCCATCCAAAACCTACCAAATAAAAAATTTTAATTTAGGAGGAACTTTGGCTGACCAGAGTTGCGACCAAACACCATTCACGACCCCTGTCGGTTCTTCCATCTGCAACTTGTAGCAACTTTTCACAGAATAAACCCCATTGGTTTCGCCTTTCCATCAATATCCATCCTCTCTATTGCCTGCACTGATGGGGATGCTCAATATTATTCTTTTATCTTCCTCATTAAATAGTGCTCATATTCTCTCTACATTCCACTTCTTACCAGTAGCATCTCTCAGAGCAGCAAAATTCATGTCCCGCACCCCTTGTGGTTTTGATGAAGTTATCCTTCATCATCCATCTCCGGTAGCCACGCATCCGCCCACACCTGTACATCTATACCATTCCCAACTCGTCTCCTTATGTTCCTCTTCAACAAATCTTGTGTCTCAAAAATACTTCTCCAAACAAAGGAAGGGTTATTTCCCAACTTAGCATTACGAAAGTTAGAGTTGGGAAAATACCTTGCCTTTAAAATTCTCCCCATGAGACTGCCTTTATCGTTAATCAACCTCCACCCCTGCTTGGCTAACATAACTAAATTGAATTCCCTTAACTGTATGAACCCCAGTCCGCCCGCCTCTTTTGGTTTACACAAATTCTTCCAACTTCTCCACCTCATTCCTTTCTGATCCAGCTTCGAACCACTCCACAAGAACCCATTCATCAATTTTTCAATCTCATCACATAATTCCTTGGGCAATAAAAATACATTCATGGCATAAGATAACATTGCCTGGACCACGTTTTTAGCAACACCGCTCGACCAGCCCTAGAAAGAAAACGATTATTCCAGCTCTTGATTCTGCTATGAATCCGGTCCTTCAAATAACTCAAAATTGCTCCTTTATTTCTCCCAACCATAGCCGGTAACCCCAAATACTGCCCATGCTCTCCCTCTGCAAAACCCCCCAACTTCTGTCTACACATATCTCTAGTCTGCTCAGTCGTATTAGGGCTGAAATAGACTGTAGACTTAGCAAAATTCACCACCTGCCCAGACATTTCTTCATAATAATTTAACATTTTTTTACATTATCACACTCGGCTGGATTGGCTTTAAAAAATAAGAAACTATCATCTGCAAAAAAATAGGTGTGATACCTTTAGAGCCCCTCTGCACACTGCCACCCCATGCACCTCGTCTCTGCTTTCCACCCTCCTCAGTAGCGAACTTAGGCCTTCGGCCACCAGTATAAATAGATAGGGAGATAGTGGGTCCCCTTATCTCAGCCCTCTACCCGGAATAATCGGCCCTAGTGCTCCCTTCTCGAATTGGA